AGATAAATTTTGTGAGATATATGTTCGTTACTAAAATGGAAAATAGATTAATTGAGGATATTTTTATAAAACGACGAAGGCTCCATTTGGGATCAGCGGTATGTAGAAGTTAACGTTAGCATTTTGAAAAAAGCTATTTAACGGTAGTCTTTAGCATTCTCATTTTTAAAAATCATTTATACCATCAAAATTTTATCCAAAACGCTAATCGAAAATATTGTTTCCATACATGGCCTAAAATGAAAAAGTCAGCCAAACAAACTTATGAAATACTCAGCAAAAGGATCGATAAAGTCAAGCTGAACCGGTCCTTTTCTATATTTTATTCTTAATTTAATCCTTTTCACACTATTTGTTCGAGACCAAAATGACATCAAACACAACCCTTGATGCTAATTTTTTCTAGTGAGATTACCTGAGAATTGAGATCTCAATAGTACCGGGTTTAGATCTTTCGGTTCTACTCCGTTTCGTCTCAATTTAAATCGCAAGTTTTGGTAATGATTTTTGTTTCGAGTTATTTTTAATTAATTTTAAATGAAAACTGGTGTACAATAAAAAATAAATATATAACATATTTAAAAACTATATCAAAAAATATATAATAATAATACTGATATAATTATATTATCTTATCAAATATTCAATGAAAATAACAAAAAAGATTTATAATTTAATCTTAATACAGTAGTATATAAAGACAATTTAATTTGAGATGAATGAACTAATCTTTTTCACTTTTTAGTCATTCCAAAACACGTGACACGGTACATTCCATGGGTCCCAATAAAGTTTATTGCCACCCTCAATTAAATTACCCAATATCTCGCACAGATTTGCGAACAGACAAACAGTGAGATTCTTCCAAAAAAAGTTACTGCATTCGTCTTGAAACTTTCTTCTCATTGTGCAAAACGAAGAAAAATCTTAAGTTTTCTCAATCTATTTTATTTAAATATTAGTATAGAAATAAAAAATAAAAAATACATATTTAAAAACTACATCAAAAGTTCAACAAAACAAGTGGTGACAAGGATATTTTATTTTAACATATAGGCTATGAGAAGAAAGTTTTAGGACAGAGGGAGTACAATAATGTTAGAGCTTCTTCCAATGGTGGAGATATATATATATATCTCATTTATCTCTTTAAGTGATTAAATTTACCTTCCCAAAAAGTGTGCAACTCCAATGGGGATGGCAAATCAAAAGGCAAAAGAGAAAAAAAATGTATATGCATGCATTAATGGGAAAAAATTTAGTTGATTTGCTTTTTTAAATCAAATTTTAATTATTAGAAAAGAAAGTATACTTTCTTAAGAAAGTCATGGGAAGGTAAATTTGAGTTTTGTTGTTTTTGTTTCTAAAGATTTTATAAAAATCCAACTAATTTATTGGAAAAAAAGTTAGAATGTCAATTGTCAAATAATTAAATATACATTATATCCAATTGCACATGTAGAATTATAAATACCCGAGTAAAAAAAACTTAAAAATACAGCATATAAAATTAAAAAACAAAGTATACTCTTTTTGTTAATTTTTGACTCGTTAAGTTTTACAATTACAAGGATACAAATTAAAAATTTATAATAATACATTCAAGCAGAAAAATACAATAACTAAAGTAATTGACAGGAGTTTAAAAGGTGAGAAAAGTTGATATACTTTCCGAAATGAAGAAGATAAAGATACCTTTTCAAAATTGAAGATGGTATAATGCCTTGTTTACCTCTCTCATTCGAGAATAATTTTTAATAAAAATAGATATACTCCTTCCGACCCACTGTGTTTGTCCACTTACCTTTTGACACACTATCCAATGCACTTCTTTAATCCATTTTATCTTGTAATTTGTATATTAAAAAATTATACAAATTATATATTAATAATCTATATGTTAAAACGAATCAAACAAGATCACACATAACTATTTTTAAGCTTACACATTAAGAGAATTTGATGACTCAAAGTGTTTAGATGAACAGTTCCAAAAGTCAAATGTAGACAAAGACAATAGGACAGAGGTAGTATATCACAATTATTACTCTTTACCCTCTCATATACCTCTTCCGTTGGAGTTGCTCTTATAACAACTCCAATGGTAAGAGCTATCTTGGATAGGTATATATATCATTTACCTCTCTAAATGATCAAGTTTACCTTTTCAAAAAGTGTCTAACTCCAATTAGAGAAGGTAATCAAAAGGCAAAAGATGGAAAAAAATCCATCTCCATACATTATTGGAAAAAATTAGTTGATTAACTTCTTAAATCAAATTTTAATTATTAGAAAAAAAAATATACATTCTTAAAAAAATCATGGGGAGGTAAATTTGAGGTTTGTTGCCTTTATTTCTTCTTGATTAAATTTTTAAATTTAAAGATTTTATAAAAACACAACTAATTTATTGGGGAAAAAATTAGAATGTCAGTTTTAAAATAATTAAATATACATTATGTCTAATTGCACATGTAAAATTATAAATACCCGAATAAAAAAGACTTAGAAATACAGAGTGCAACATTAAAAAACAAAGTATCTTTTTTTGTTAATTCTTGACTCGATATGTTTTACAATTACAAAGATACAAATTAAAAATTTATAATAATATATTCAAGAAAAAATACAATAACTGAAGTAATTGATGAAATAAATTTAGAAGGTGGGAAAAATTGATATACCTCCTCAAATGAAGAAGGTAAAGATATCTCTTCAAAATTGAAGAAGGTATAATGCCTTCTTATTTACCTTTCCCATTAGAGAATGATTTTTAATGAAAAGAGGTATATAATGAATGAAAATTTTTTTATTTAATGAATGTAATGTTTTTATTTAATTAATGTATTTTTTATAATGAATGTAATTTTTTTATTTAATGAATTTAATTTTTTTATTTAATGAATGCAATTTTTTTATAATGAATGTATTTTTTTAATGAACTATTATCATTTCAATTCTTTTAAATAATTAAATACTTAATTTTTATTAATTTAATTTTAGAAGATGTGTATTTAAAACGTAAAAAACGAAGGTTTAAAGCCCCGAGGCTTCAAACTCATTTCCACTAAAATTGTGAGGTAAGTTAAAGCTGATGTGACAGAGAGAAAAGTTTTGAAGCCCTGGGACTTAATGGGTATTTCCAATGCCCTTAAAGCATTGGATAATGATATTTGTACTCTACTAACTAGTACACTTTAATATTTTGATCTGACAACTAAATGGGTAATTTATCTAAATAGGACTAAAACATAATGACTTTTTCAATATAGGACCATATGTATTTATTTCCCAATGTAGAACAATTGGTCATTATCTATTAGTCATTATTCAACTAAATGTCCAGCATCACTTGAACATTTTTCTTCTCACTGTTGAAATATTAGAATAATAATATTGCTCATTGAATTATGGAGTACATGATAGTGTATATATAGGAGAGACTCCTAACACAATAGGAATAGAGAATGGAAAGTAACTAACATACAACATCTACCACAAATAGGATTAGGAAGCTGACTATTAATGTGATGGTGTAAATATAGCGGGGTGGGTTAACCGGGTTTGACCTGGACACACTCGACCCGTAATATAAAACACACAACAAGAACACAAAGTATGACCTAGACCGGGTAAATCTCCTCAGTCCGAATTATATTTCTTACTCTATCTCAAGAGTGAACTTTAGTGAGAGAAAAATTGGATCCCCTCCTCTATCAAATATCATCATATTTATAGAGGAGGATTTGTGACCCTCCCCTGTTCATCCATGGACAAAATAGGAAGCTCGTGGGAAGGTCACTGTAGATAATGGAAGCACTGTACAATCATAGAATTTAGCAACTATAGGCCAAGACATGTACTGTTCAATCAAAGACTAAAATGGATATTCTCAATCCAATCAACCCTGCAAAATGACAAATATCCCTTTCACTGTGTGCCTCGTGATGGATGAGCGGCGGGGTGTCCCCTTGACCTCTGACGTGGTTCACCATGCCTAAAAGACTGAACCAATGTTAGCCAAGTAAAGTGATATGACCGGTCACCTTCTCTCAAAAGTTACCAGGTCATTCTTCGTGCTCAACCCGTCTCTGGTCTTCTAGAATGTCCTTTGTAACATTAGGCGACATTTTGGCTATCGCCCAAAATGTGACCGGTCACTTTTTTAGTGGAAGTGACCGGTCAACTTTTGACCCGTCCCAATCAAAGAGTTAACCTCATTTGGTGATTGATAAAAGTGACCGGTCATATTTTTGACCTGTCCCTTTCGGTTGTCCGGGTCGGGTATAGGGATATACCCATCAAGAAGTCCTCCACTTACCGGCCTTGTGAGGAAGTCATCAAGGGCGGGAAGTATACTTATGTTAACCCATGACCTGTCTTTCTTTGAAATCATCAAGTCATTCCCATGACCTGTCCTTCTTTGGAATCATCAAGTCATTCTCATGACCTGTCCTTCTTTGAAATTATCAAGTCATTCCCATGACCTATCCTTTTCTGAAATCACCAAGTCATTCTCGTTGACCTGTCCTTTTAGACCCGTCACTTTTGTGATTATCATACCTTTCTCTTTCAAGACCTGTGTTTCTCTGGATTGTCAAGCCTTTCTTTTTCAAGACCTGTCCTCTCCTTCTTTGAAATTATCAAGCCATTCCCATGACCTTTCCAAGGAGACCTGCCCATTTCTTTGATTCACCGTCCTGGCACTTATGGATTTGTAGACCACGCTGTATGACCTGTCCGTTTGGATTTGTGGGAGTCCAAACGTTGAGCCTGGCCTTTTAGTTTTGGAATTCCCCCCAAAACCTCTCACCTTCCACATTCAAAATTCAAATTTTCCCTCCTAATCACAACCTCTTCCACGTGTCAGGCGCTCCTTCTCCCACCTGTCGCCTCGAGCTCCAAACCGCCTCTCTCTCTCCTATAAATACTCCTCCAACCCATCTCATTTCTTCACTTATCTCCTTCGTTTCTCTTGATTTGCCCGGTCTGCTTTCTCTCTCTAGCTTCTCACCAAGTAAGTGCTCCTGTCCTCCTAGTCTTTTATTTTTCATCTCCCCTTTTTTAACCGGCAACATCATGTCTTCTGATAGCCAAAACATATCCGGCCAATCTTATGGGTCAGGCTCTCAGCCCTCTTCTTCTTCTCACTCTGAGTCTTCTTCTCCTCCTGTCACTCCTTTAATTCGCCGCCCTTCTCACCAATCCAGCTCCCAGGCCTGGGAAATAATTGCCCAGGACCCTGTCCCTTTGAATCAACTGCCCGGTCGATTCAATCCCAAGGTCCTTAGCTGGGAGCAATGGGAGGAACGACTGGGATCAATGGGCTACCTAGCCCTTGACTCAAGACCGGTCTTCAAAGAGTCCTCTAGGGTTACAAAAAAGGTCCTGGCCAAGGTGCGCTCCTTCCTTCCCCCGGGCTATAAAGTCCTTTCTAACACCACCTGGCCCAACATCATAGAACCCCACCAGGGAACCCGGTTGGGTTTTCACATCGCTTCGCTAGAGGGGGGCATTATCTTTCCCCTTCGTCCCCTCCTCGTAGAAATCTGTAACAAGTTCAAGATTTTGCCCGGCCAGCTTACTCCAAATGCTCACCGGTTCTTGAATTGTTTTGTAAATATCTGTGAAATTTTGAAAATCAACCCTTCCCTTGAGCTTTTCCTCCACATGTACGAAGTCTTGCCCGGGACTAGTAACTGCCCAGGCTTCGTCTATTTCCATTCTCGTAATAAGAGATCTTTTGTGACCGGTCTTCCCCCTAGTCACAAAAGATAGAAGGAAAGATTTGTTTTTGTTAAATTCCCCCCTGACCAATTTCCTCTCTCAAACCCTGAGTGGGCTGACCGGGTTATAAAACCTGAAAGGGTTCAACCAGAGCCCACTAAAGATCTTGAGGACGCCTGCGAGAAACTTCTCAAGGGTGATCCTGTGACCGGGAAACCTTATGCCTACGGGGGCTGGGTATTCCGGCTAGCTAACCCGGATGGGGGTGCGTCTGCGACCCATGACGCTGAGGATAACCGGGCTGATTCCCCGGATGGTCACGCTGAGGCCGGCTCTCCTCATCCAGGTTGGTTAATTTTCCTCAACCTTTTGATTCCACTTTCATTTTGATAAGGTGTAAAATCTAACCGGTTACTTTGTTCTTTTCGGCAGACATGAACTTCAACAGGATGACCACCATCATTGAGGATGACGACGATGATGTCCAAGTCCTCCACTCCAACCGGTCTCCTCTCTCTAACTCTCCTTATCCTCCTAACTTCCCTGGAATGGATGGGGCCACAAGTGCCCGGTGTAGCCCTATCCATGAGAAGAGCCAGAAGCTGAAATCTCCTTCAGCCAGGCATCACTCTGAGGTTGACCGGGCTAATCCCCCCAAAATCCCGGTCCAATCAGGTGCTAAAGAGGTCGGTGCATCTTCCTCTTCAAAAGCCAAGGACCAAAAAAGGAAGAGCTCTCATAAGAGTTCCAGGGGAGGCAAGAAGAGGAAGATTAGCTTATCAGATAGGGAGGGGGAAACCATCGAAGAAGCCTTCCTGTCCCTGGCCAAAAAACTCAGCAAGGTATTCCATCTCCACCTTTCTTCCAGGTTCAAGTTTTTTCCTTTACTTTCACTGATATGCCTCCTCTCTTTTTATTTTTTACTTTTACAGGCCGGGGTCATTTCAGAGGAAATTGGCCAAACATTAAAGGAGAAGGACCAGGTCTCCCAACTCACCCTCCTCCTTGATTCTGCTAAGTTAGAGATCAATGACCGGGCAGAAAGGGAGAGGAGACTTGAGGAAGAGCTGAAGGAAGAAAGGGCCCGGTTTGCCCTTCTGGAGGAGGAAAAGAAGAGAAAGATCGCCGAGCTCGAGGATGCGCTGGGCCAGGCTGAAGAATCTGCCCGGGCAAAGGAGGAAGCCTTTCCCACTGAAGCTGCTCACTGGGCTGCATGCCATCACTTGGAAATTGCCCGATCAATTCTCAACACACCGGAAGAAACCATGGACTTTTTCAAGACCATGTATCAAGAGCCTGAAGGCAAGAGGATGATCACCGAGATTGGTTCGTACGGCTTCCAGTGCGGCCACAAGGATGAGAGGTCCCTCCTTTATGCCAGGCTTCTGAAGAGGGATCCTTCCTTTGACCCGGCCAAGATGAAGCTCCCGGCTCTATACAAGGAAGAGCTAGCTCCCCCCTTTCCCCTAGAGTAGGTTAGGGTTTGAATTCAAAAACTTTAAATTTTCCCAAGGCCTGGGGGATGTCCGGCCTACTTCTGACTTGTGTGATATTATCTTTTGTTTGGCATGGTTTTCGATTTACCGGCTTGTTTCTTCTTTCCGTTTGCATGGTTGAACTCCTTTTCTATGCATGGTTATTGCTTTTTCCTTTCCTTTTCTTGATCGCCTTTGAATGAACTTCCAAGTCAATAAAACTAACCGGCCTTATACCCTAGGAATCTTTTTGAAAAAACGCCCAGGCCATCTCATGTCCTGGTCCTGAAAACGTCCAGGCCTCATTGGCTTGGTTGACAATTTTCTTGAATATGCTTGATTCCATGTCAAAAGAAGTAACCGGCTTTATCCTTTGTAGTTGTCCAGGTCACCTCATGTCCTTGTGTTTGGTTAACGCCTTAGAAACGTCTAGGTCTGGTAGGCTTTGTTGACAGCGTCCAGGTCTTTTCATGTTCTGATCAATTCCTTCTCTTGCAAATGTCCAGGTCATGTGATGTCCTGGTCAAGTACAAGCCTTGAAAACATCTAGGTCTTGCAACCTTGAAAATGTCTAGATCTTGTGGCCTGACTAGTCTTCTGGACCGGCTTGTGTCTAGGTTGAACTGCAACAAACGTCCAGGTCATCTCATGTCCTGGTGTAGTAGGCTAGGTTGGAAGTTTTGAAGACCACTTTAGACGCAAGGCTTGAAAACTTCCAGGTCATCTCATGTCCTGGTGTCCTGACTTGAAAACGTCTAGGTCGGTTTCTTCCTCGCCTGTTTCCTGACCCTTGCAAGATGTAACCAGCATGACGTCAAATTTCCTGTCCAGGTGCCGGGTCAAAAATATGACCGGTCAAAAAATATTCTTTTCCAGTCTTGTCTGATTTCATCAAATCCGCCAACTCAAAAGTGACCGGTCACTTTTCTCAAAGTTGACCGGTCAAATTTTCATTTTTTCCCATTCGAATTTTCTTGTCAATCTAGAACATCAAAAAGTGACCGGTCACTTTTGACCATGCCACCTTCTTTTCCCCCTCTGGCCTGGGCGTCATGCCTAACAGCAACCTTGCTCAAATTTCGAACGAATAATCCGAAACGGTTTTGGAATCATCAAGTCTCAACATCAAGACCCGAACTTTCTTCGGAGATTTTGACCATGTCCTATGATCGCGAACCCTCTCCAAGGTCCAGCCCTCTTCCAGGCAACACCCTTCTTCCAGGGCCCCTCTTCCAGGTTTTAAGTTTTTTAATGTGCCATTCTCTAATCATCAGGTTTACCTAGCCAACCCAATCTTCCCACGTGGGGGTATGCCGGTGAGAACCAGCCCTCATCCAATCCTACATGTCCATATTTTATGCGTTTGAAATGAATTCTAGTCTTCCCTAGACCCTTCAATCCGCAAAGGATGGCTCATGCAAGACGGTAATCATTTTTTTTACTTTGGCATCTTTTTTGCCCCTATCCAAATGAAAATTTGGTAGGGATCCATGTAAGTATGGACGCGAGTCCTCTTCCAGACCCAGCCTATCTCAAGGCCATACCTCAACATCAAGGCCCCTATCTCAAGGGTTTTTTTTTCTTGCCTCTTACATCAAGACATTAGTTTAGTATTACTGACCCAGCAACACAAGTATTGAAGAAATCTCTTATTTATCATCGAAGGGGTATTATAAATACATGCCCTGCCAATTTGGTCTATCGGTAGAATTTTCTAAGGTGGTGGGAATTCCAGCACCTTTCCAACTCTCGACCTTCCATTGTTTCTAACTTGTATGTCCCAGGGCGTAATATTGCTGTGACCCTATATGGACCTTCCCATTTCCTTGCAAGCTTTCCACCATCACCCGGTTTGCTGGCCTCCCTTCGTCTCAGGACCTCATCACCGACTTGGAAATAACGAGGCCCTACCTTGTTATCATGGTAGGCCTTGGCTGCTTGCTGGTACTCTATCATTTTAGCCTCAGCGACCATCCGCCTTTCCTCCAACAAGTTCAACTCTGCCAAATGGTCCTCCTCATTCCCTTTCTCCTCATAGACCTTTTCCCGGAAGGTCATTATCTTTGCTTCAATGGGTAGTCTGGCCTCGCATCCATAAGTAAGGACGAAAGGTGTCTCCCCGGTGGCCCTTCTCGAAGTGACTCGGTAAGCCCAGATGATATGTGGCAACTCCTCTAGCCAATTTGTTCCTGCCTCACCCAACCGCTTTTTAATCCCATCGACTATTGTGCGGTTCGCATTCTCCACTTGACCATTCCCTTGCGGGTAGGCCACGGAAGCCTTGTTGTGAGTAATCCCGAAGTCCTCCAAGTATTTGGTGAACCCTGGATTCCGAAATTGAGGCCCGTTGTCCGTCACAATGTTTCGAGGAGACCCGAACCTGGTGATTATATTCTTCCAGATGAAGCGCTGGCACTGCTTGGTTGTGATGGTTGCATATGCCTCGGCCTCTACCCATTTTGTGAAGTAGTCGATAGCAACCATGACATACTTCTTCCTCCCTTGTTCATGGGGGAAGGCTCCAATGATGTCCATCCCAAACCTTACGAATGGAATAACATTGGAAACTGGATGGTAATATGTCGCAGGCCTTCCCGGAAACTTGTAGAACACCTGGCAAGTCTTGCACCTTTGCACATATTTTTCACAATCTTGGTTCATTGTAGGCCAGAAATAACCTAGCAAGATGATCCTTTGTGCGAGTGTCCTGGACATTTGGTGGGCTGCACAGACACCCTGATGAACTTCGGCGATCACTCTTTCCGCCTCCGCCCTGGTCAAGCATCTCAGCAGCGGACCACCAAACGCCCTTTTGTATAGCCTTCCATCTAGCATTTGGAATCTTGGAGCCCTCAACTTTACTTTTCGCACCCTGTCCTCATCCTCAGGGAATTGCCCGGTCATGTAATACTTGACCAAGTCATCTATCCAAATATTATCTGGCTCCACTCGATCTGGATTGGGCTGTCCACCTTCTTCTATCGTGCTGACAGAAAACCCTTCAATGCTGGCTTTCTCCAGCGTCTCAATCCTAGCCAGCTTGGACACATGCTCCGGGGCTGCTTGCGTCAATTTTGATAGCAAGTCAGCATCGGTGTTTTTCCCTCTAGGGATTTGCTCCATCACATACTCAGTCAGATCCTTCAATAATGCCCTTGCCAAGTCTCTGTATTTCTGCATCTTCTCTCCTTTGGCCTCCATGTTGCCATTGATGTGGCCTACCACCAAGCTTGAGTCGAATTTGATCCTGAGACATGTGATTTGTAGGGTTTTGGCCAATCTCAGACCCCCTATCAATGCCTCACACTCAGCCTCGTTGTTTGTGAGCTTGAAATTGAAGATCAAGGCATGATATACCTTGAACCCTTCTGGAGTTGTGAATACTACACCTCCCCCGTAACCTTTCGGTCCAGAGGCTCCATCTACTGACATGGACCACCAAGGCTCTGTGATAGCCCTAGCCGGTTCTTCTTCCTGGTGACCCGCCATCTCCACAAGAAAATCAGCCACGGCCTGTCCTTTTATCACTGTCCTCGGGCGATATTCGATGTTGAATTGAGTCAACATCATGGCCCATTTGATCATTCTTCCTGATGAGGTGGAGTCCCTCATGACCGTACCCAATGGTAGGTCAGTCAACACGATAATAGGATGGGCCTGAAAGTAGGAGGTGAGTTTCTTCGCCGTTATGAACAGTGCATACCCTGCCTTCTCCGTGGGAGTATACCTACTTTCTGCCCCATTTAAGGCCTTGCTTACATAATAAATGGGCCTCTGGACCCCATCATCCCTCATCAAGACCGAGCTAACGGCCATCTGAGTTACCCCTAGGTAGAGGTATAGAGTCTCCTTCGTTTCCGGCTTGGATAGGACAATATCCGAAGTCAGGTACGTCTTTAGCTCTTCGAATGCCCTAGCACATTCGTCATCCCACTGGAAGGTGTTGGCTTTCTTTAAGACTTTAAAGAAAGGTAAGGCCTTCTCAGCTGATCTGGACAAGAACCGGTTTAGGGCCGCCAGGCGCCCCGTCAATCTTTGGACATCCCTTACCGAGGTTGGGGGTCGCATCTCAACAATGGCCTTGATTTTCTCAGGATTTGGCTCAATCCCCATCTTCGTAACCATGAAGCCCAAAAACTTCCCCGTCCTTACGGCAAAAACACACTTCTTTGGATTAAGTCTAAGATTATGCCTAGCCATAATCTCAAAACACTTTTCCAGATCTTGAGCGTGTGTGTTGGCTGTCCTGCTTTTCACCAGCATATCATCGACATAGGCCTCCATGGTCCGTCCAAGTAAAGGCCTGAACAATTTGTTGACCATCCTCTGGTAGGTCGCCCTTGAGTTTTTCAACCCAAAGGCCATCACCTTGTAACAGTATGTCCCATCCAGGGTGAGGAAGGCCGTCTTTTCCTCGTCATCTTCCGCCATGAAGATCTGATGATACCCTTTAAAGGCATCCATGAAACTTAGCAGTTCACACCCGGCGGTTTCGTCAACCATTTGGTCCGGGCTGGGGAGAGGATAAGAATCCATTGGGCATGCCTTGTTGAGGTCTGTGTAGTCTACGCACATCCTCCAGGTATCACCCTTCGGATCCAGGACTACATTGGCCAGCCATTCAGGGTAGTTTACTTCCCTGATATGACCTACCTCAAGTAGGTCCTTGACCTCTTTCTTCACAAAGTCCCTCCTATCACTTGCCAAAAATCTCTTCTTCTATCTTACAGGCCTAGACCCCTCAAGAACAGAGAGACGATGACAAATGACTGACCGGTCAATCCCGGGCATATCAGCAACACTCCAGGCAAATAATGATTTATACCTGGTCAACACCTGGACAATCTCAGTCCTTAGTTCTTCCTGAAGATCAGCTCCAATCTTGACCTTCCTCTCAGGATTGGAGGCATCAATCTAGATCTCCTCCGTGTTTGCATCCGGCTCGATCCTAGCCTTCTCCTCTCCCTTGTCTACTTGCTGGGAGACCAAATCAATTTGTTCGAATTGGCGGGTCATTTTCTTGACTGCTTCCAGGTAGCAAGATCGGGCATTCTTCTGATCACCCCTTTCCTCCCCTATCCCATTGGGAGTGTAGAATTTCATGCACAAGTGTGCCATAGAAATGATGGCCCTGACCTGGTTGATCCCAGGTCTACCAAGAATGGCATTATGTACACACTTGATATTAACCACAACAAATCTCATTTGCTTGGTTACTGTTTTGTTACCCGACCCCAAGGTAACTGGTAAGGTGATCTGACCTTCCGCTTCTATGCTAGCTCCAGTGAAGCCTGACAATGGAGTTTGCAACGGTCTCAACATGGACCTGTCCAGCTTCAATTTCTTGAAAGCATCCAAGTATAGAACATTGACACTGCTTCCTGTGTCAACCAGGACCCTGGCCACATCAGCTCCATTGATATCCATTGTAATAACCAAAGGGTCATTATGATCTCCCCCCGTCCTGGGCAGATCCCTATCAGTGAAAGTGATAGGTTCCCTCCTTGCCTGCTTCCC